AGAGAGAGAGAGAGAGAGAGAGAGAGAGAGAGAGAGAGAGAGCGTCGTTCATCTCGTGCCATTGAGGAAATCGACTTTCGATTTCCGACGTACGGAGTGGCGAGGATCGCGGACTTGACCCAGTTTCTTTCCTCCTTTCTTTCTTTTTTTGTTTTCGAAAACCGTTCATGTGCGTGTTTATGGCGAGGAAGGGAGGAAGAAATTGAAGTCCGGTATGTGTCCGAAACCTCGATCGTACACGGATATCGCCGACATCGACCGACCGACCGACAGACCGACCGACCGACCGACCGACCGGCCATGGATGAACGCGCTCTCAAAAGCGTCATCGTGTTGTTATTACATGAGGTGTCGAGATGATTTCCCATATTTGTGGACGATGACACGAATCGTTTACGAATCTGCGCGAACGCGCGCCGCGCGACCAATTAATGCCGTCGATATCGGGAAAAGAGATCACGACGAACGATGGATCTGGAATTAACCGTTGATTTCTGATATGTGGGCCGTTCGTCGCCGGTAACCTGAATTCCCGCTTGCTTCAAGCGCAATTACCTGCAGATCGGAGAGATTAATACGGAGCCAAGCGGTGAAAATCGCTCGGGCCTCGTTATAAAAGAGTTATTGTCGCGCGATTACTGCGACGATTCTGCGTTCACACGTGTGCGTGTGCAGATATGTGTGAGTGTGTGTGTGTGTGTGTGTGTGTGTGCGTGCTCGCGTGTGTATGCGTGCGTTTCTGACTAACGAATTATGGATTCGAGATTTTAAATTTGAATTTGAAATTTTAGAATCTTACGAAAAAATGGTCGGAGACTGGGTCAACCAATCGCAGGTGAAACATGAACGAACCAGAAAATCCTGATTACTTGAATTTCTAGCTCATTTGTACTTGACTAGAAATTTGCTGAGTCCAAGCAGACTCTCTTTTCAGTAGAGGATCAAATTTTAGAATTTGTGTATTAATTAATCTCTCAACCCTGACTAGGTCAGTTCGTGAATATCGACAATTTTCGCTCCTGAACGAATTGTCGTAGTTATTTGGAAATTTATCACGTTGCTTTTGAATGGATCGCCGAATTTTCAGCATACTTTCGAATTCTGTGGATATTGTGAAACTTTCAGAATAACTTACCGTGTTCGTATTTGGCGTTACCTCGAGTTTCAGTAAGATTAAGGGTCGATTTCTCGACAGTTGAGAACTCGAACTTAGAATTACGTTCAAACTTTGTTCAAACGCAGAGTTAAAATTTAAATCTACGTTCGAGTTGCTGCTGGAAAATCGATTCTATGTGCAACAGGTCGAACGAGACGCGCAAAGTGCGAAAGAGATAGAGAGCGAAAAGAAGACAAGATCGACGTTTGGGGGACGACAGGTTCTCTGAAAGGTCGCGATAACGCGATCGCGATGCGGATGCTCGTCGGAAATCTAACACGGACCTGCGCGAGCCGCGAGAAAAAAATTCGCAAGGAACCCTACACGTATGACTCGAGTAAGTGCGCTGTGATGGACGATAAAATTGCCGCGGAGCAAGCAGAGCGTGTATCCACTGCTAATTGTGAAGCAACGTTCACTAATTATAACTACCATTCCGTGTGTATTGTGCGCGGTGTCGATTAAGTGGTCGTTTTCGCACGCGAGTGCTCTCTCTCTCTCTCTCTCTCTCTCTCTCTCTCTCTCTCTCTCTTTGTTTCAAGCGCAGGATGCTCTGCCGCTTCTAATCGGCGTGTTCGGGGCCCATGGAGAAGTCTTTGGTGCCTCGCGAGCTCCGGTTTCAGGTTTATATAGTCGAGGACGATCGTCCGCGTGCGATCGAGTCGTCCCGAGGAACGGCAGGATGATTTCGAGCCGGCCGGTAGTTATACCTCTAGCGGACCTCCGAGTGCGTACATAACTACGGGGTATCAGGCATGCGAGGGGAAGTGGAACAGAAGAGAAAGGCACGTGGAGATGAACTAGATTTCGGATAGTCATCTCTTCTTTCCGTCCACGTTCGCCGTCCTCGTTCCCCTCCGCCTCTCTTGCTCCGCGTCCTCCGACTTGCTCCTGCAGCCCTCCTGCGGCCGCCATGTCCATTCGCATTCCATCTCGCGTTCATTGTCGCATTCCTGCGGTCGAGTGTGAGCTCCTCCTGAGCCGGCTTCTCAGCCCTGCGCGTCCACCTGTCCACCAAAGGGTCCGTCTGTTCGCCATGGTTCGTCCTTGTCGCCGTGGTGCGAAGTCCCGTTCCGGTTTCTCGCGGATGCTCTCTCCATGGGAGACGCGACGCGCTCCGGTCGCTTCTACGTGCTATAGCCGCGGCGTGTGATCGCGATTCGAAATCGGCACGTTCTCTTCCGCTCCACTAAAGCGCGGAAGGAGAGAAAGGAAGGTGATGGCCGCGCGCGGAGCAGAAGAGGGCCGCGTCGCCGTGCGATCCGGGAGTCGGATAGGTGGTCTAGAATAGCGTTTAACATCTCGTCAGATGCGGATTACGCCAGCGATGGCGCGGAGGGAGGGGGAGGAAGGCGCGAAAGACGGCGCGAGAAGGACGGCAGGCGGGCGTCACTCGGCTTACCCGAGATGACGGAACCACCACCTCCGCCGCCGCCGCCGCCACCGCCTCCGATCGGGCCGCGCGAGCGCACCGTAACGCTCTGAAACGCTAGTCGGGAAACAAGAATTAAACGACTCGGAGGAGACTGCGTCTGCCGTGAGGCGGACGAAAAATTCACCGGCTAATGCACAGCAAGAGCAGAGAACGGCAGCCACCGTACCAATGCTCTCCTTGCTTTTTTCCTGCTACAATCACCGACCGTCACGTAGATCTATATAAATGGCAATTGCAAGCTCGTACGCTGCAGCACTCGGACCTCCGCCGTAGGTTCCGCAGCTACGCAACGCAGAACGAACGCGCGGTATCACGTCGACCACGCATTGGCGCAGTCGCCCTTAGTTAGTTAGTCGGCGACCACGAGGAGAACCCGCCTGTCCGGTGTCTGTCTTCTCCGCGCGCCTTGGTCTCCGAAGGGCCGTTCCCTCGTAACGCGATACACAGAGAGTCGCCTTCGTATCTCCGGACCCAGACACGGCACGATGTCGCGGATACACGACGATGGCCGCCGACGTCCGTTCGTCCAGCTGCTTCTGCTGATGATCTGCGCGTTGTCGATCGTCGACACGATCGACGCCGCCGCCGCCGCCGCCGCCGCCGCCGCCAACGTCAAGGACGCGTGGACGGGATTCTCGACGTCGTGCGCGACCGAGGACGCGAAGAACATGTCCATGTCCTGCCATGGCGTGCGAATCGTCCGCCAGATCGTGAAGCAGATGTTGGAGACCACCAGCAAGGAACGGGATATCGAGCTGTTCGACGGCGTCAGCCTCGTCGAGGTGCCCGGCAGCGGCTCGCCGCGCAAGGCCAGGGTGTTCAAGGGCTTCGGTGGCCTCGGACCGTTCCTGCAATTCCTGGAGGGTAGAGAGCTGCGGGTCAAGCTGCCGTCCCTGCTGCCGCCGAACGTTGAAACTGCGCTGCAAGAGAGTTTGCCCTCCGAGTCCGAAGGTGGGTAAATCGTCCGTGAGGGAGTCCCGCTGATCGTTCGCGATGCTCGTTGAGAGAGAGGGAAAGAATTCGGACGGAATCTCTGAAAGTTTGTATTTTGCAGCGAGGAAAGATGGCGGTTTGGGCGGCGGCGGCGGTTTCGGAGGCGGCAAAGGTGGCGGAGGCAAGAAAGGAGGCGGCGGCGGTATTTTGATAATGGCTCTCATGATGGGTAAGTGGTTACGAATAATCAACGTCCCATGAACGGTTGATTAATCTGAGAAAGTTACGACCACGCGTCGCTTCGCGTCAATGTTCTGTGTTTGTGTATTCGTGGCCGAATCCTGCCGACTAGTCGCGTGATATTGCGGAAATTGCGCAATGTTTATCGCACGCGCGAACTAAATCTGGAGGCGAAAATCGGAGAGCGAATCACGTAGTTCAAATAAAAGGGAATTGACCAGATCTCTATATCTATATACCGTTGTGTCAACAGCATTTCTGTCTGGTTAGAATGTATCTTCATTCAATAATAATATTATTGAAACTGATCATATTATTGTTTTAATAATTCGAGTATTGGTTACAACAATATTACTATTGAATTAAGAAGATTTATTCCAATCAAGACATCTCGTTTTACATTAATATTCTGTGTTTTTATATTCACGATCGAATATATGATTCAGAATAGTCTCGTAATATTACAGAAATTACGTAATGTTGATTAAGCACAAATTTAATTTTAAAAAATTGAATCTGATATCAAAGTTAAAATAAGAGAGGCCTAACCTAAGTTGAACAAATCACTCCAATTAAAAGAGTGTTGATCAGATCTTTATATTTGTACGAAAAAATGCTTTTGTGTCAACAACATTTTTCTGATTGGAATAAATCTTGATTCAGTAATAGTATTATTAAAATTGATACATCACATTATTGTTCTAATAACTCAAGCATTAGTCTCAATAATACTATCATTGAATAAAGAAGATTTATTCAGAAAAAGCTGTTGATACGATAACATTTTCTCGTATAATTCTTTTGTTTCATAAAAAAAAATATAATCTCATCCATAGCTGAATCCTTTTTTGCTCTCAAGAGAATTCTACTAAAACTAAAAAGAAAATATCTTAATATCCAAATAAAAATAATTTTAGTTGCAAGGTGCCGTTTCCTGCAATCTCATATTCTAAGTGAAAACTTGCACTTTACCCTTGAAAGGATATTCCTTTTTAATGAAGAGTGAATAGTATTAAATAAATATAATGAATAATATCGTCCGAATATTTCTCTCAGAAGAATCCTCTTGAAGCGACAAATAGGAAAACTCCACTAAGGATGAGATTATCTTTCTTTGGCTGTTGATTTCGCGCATTAGATGCAATCGCGACACTTGCTGATATCACGTCGTTAATTTGAAGTAACAACGTATTTGAATAAATCTATGTTTTCCCGACGCGTGCAGGCAAAATGATGGCCGCGATGGGCTTCGGCGCGCTTGGTCTCCTGGCCATGAAGGCGCTGATGGTGTCGGCCATGGCCTTGATGCTCTCACTGATCGTGGCTGTGAAGAAATTGGCGGGCGGCGGCGACGACCACGGCGGCGGTCATCATGTCGTGTACGCGCAAGATGTCGGCCATCATCACCGCAAGAAGAGATCGTTCGCGGACTACGACGAGGACCGCACGCAGCTGCCCTACCGAGGATACGCCAATCTCTACGGCAACCTACAGGCGTCCTGATGTCCTGGTCAATCGCCAGCATCCTCCGCGCAATTCGATCGAGATCCCACGGCCTTCTCTCCACTCCCCTATCGCGATGACCGGAGCTTCTCTCCGCGATGGAACCGAGACGGGCCACGTTGACGGCGGCGCGTTCGCACTATTTACATTCTCCATTGCATCGTCATTGTATCCTCATCATCCTCTCATTCATTTAACGCAACTCCACCAACGTGGTGTTCACATCCTCTCGGCTGTAGAGCGCGAAACTGCACGGTTGCCGCGGCAGGGGGTTAACGGACTTCTGGGAAACGACTGACGATGACGTCGACGACGACGGCGATGACGGCGACGGCGACGTAGACAACGGCGACAACGACGACGCGACGGTGACGAAGACGCGACGCGAGATCAGTGACAGTGACACGCCGAGACGAGACGACAGTGACCAAGAAACTAATTAACAGCCACGGTAGAAAGTGACGCTCGAACAAACGTTTGCTCGCGAAAAACGCGCTCATCCAACCCTCTTCGGGCCGTTGCTACGGAACAGGACTCTCTCAGTGAAAGATCAAGGATACCGAACTGAAGAAACCAAAGTACACATTGTTCGATTAATTGTTTTTTGTACGTATATATTTATTTTTTTACATATGTATTTATTGTTGTGCATCGCATGTTAATAAAGCATACGTGCTTGGAAGCATATATACGCAAGATAGAGGTAGATAAATAGATAGATGGAGAGAGAGAGAGTGAGTGAGTGAGTGAGTGAGTGAGTGAGTGAGTGAGTGAGTGAGAAATCATGTTTGCATTTCTTGTCACTCCCGAATCGAGGAGATTTGCAGCTTTAACGACGTCGACCACCACTCACACGATAAACAGTGATAACACGACGTGGTCAACTTTTAATCGCACCACGCGCAAAGTGCAATATTCGCGAGGATATATAAATCGCGAAAATAAATATATAAATCGTGTGAAGACCCGTATAAGACGCTAAGATAAATAACAGCATTTATCTGAGTGGGAAATGAATCTCTTGATATAAATGTAGACATCCAATGAAGTATCTACATGAATATAAGTCGCGAAGATGAATATAAAACGCAAGGATGAATGTAAATCGCGCGAAAACGAATAGAAATGACGGTGATCGCGTCTAGCCGTGAGCGTTTAGCGGCGAGTCGTGCTCGGACGAATCGAGACGTAACGGCGTTATTGCGAGAAATTAATAAGACGCTTAGGGAGTAACAGCCTCTCTCTCTCCGGCGCGCGGAAACGAAACCAAACGAAGCGACACGCTTCGCCAGGTCGGCGCGCACACCGGTGTTCCCCGTTCGCTCGCGCACGGAACATTGGAAAATCGCAGGAACGAGGTAACGCGATTCGAGCCAATGAGGAAAGTGTGCCAGCGACCTGCGGTATCGCCGCGCTGCATATATTCACCTGCGTGTCGGATGCGCGTTTACTCGACCGGCTGCGCTCGTCATGAGCGCGCGTGCGACGCTAAGGCTAATAATAGTCCGTTCGCTTGCGCGGATGTCCCCTAAGTGGATTAATGGCGATGGCGCACCGAAAGTTAAGCGCGTGGATCGTGCCGCGTATGGTCTCGCGTACATGCGGCGAATTAATAACCGGGGCTCGTTAGGCGTTTGTCCGCGCGCAAAATTCATTCCATTTCCTGGAGAAAGCGACGCGCGAGGAGCCGTGATCCCGCGGGAATTCGTCGCAAATTTTCTGGCGGCTGACTTTCAGTGATCAAGAGACGAATCTCGCTGAACTGTGCCCGTAGGCTCGCGCGAATCGCAATCTGAAACGGACTCTAGAGTTGACGAGACGAAAACGAGGGAAGGAAATAGATAGATAGATAAATAAATCTGTCTCGCGCTTTTACATCTCCACAAGAGCGACTAAGTAATAATAAATCAAGGAAGTCGAGCAATATTTACACAGAGTATATTCAGATAGAGTAATGAAGAAGAAGAAGAAGATAGAAAAGAAATAGAGAACATTCAGATAGACTCTCGTGATTATCACGACGTAGGACATTCGATGAACTTTACAATTGTTTGAATCAGATTTATGAGGCAAGTGCATTATGAATTAATCATTAAATTTGCATCATAACGCAGATCACACGCAGAAAATTTTGTGGAAAAATTGCCGAGAATCTTGTAATCGATAAACAGATCGACATTCTTCTGTAATTGACTATCCATTTATTTCATGTGTACTATTTCTATTTTAGAAACTGAAATTTCAGGGACTGAGAGAGAAACTGATATTATTGAAAAATTGACCCTACTCTTTAGCATGATAGACGTTACTGACAGTCTATTCTTACACTATTAGAAACTATTAGCTAGATTGGAAAGAATGGGAAAAGAAAATTCAATATTCTCTTCATTTGTTCAATAAGATAAATTGTTTGTTACACTGATGTAGCAAATCTGATACAACAAATTTACTAAAAGTTAAATTAAAATACGTATGTTACATTTTACACGATACGTTGTTTTGTGCACGATTTGATCGTTATTTTAGCACTCATTTGCATTTCTGTTTCTGTTTCGTCATTTGTCGTGATAAATGCAAATGCATATGAATAATAAAAAACGCAATCTTTTCAAATCGATTAATAAAGTTGCTGGCAAATTTACGTACATGTCTATTTGTGTAAACATCGTGGAAAAGAAGATTCGGCCGAATAAGAGAGAAATATTTCTTTCCTAATCATTAAAAAAAATATATATAAGAAAAAGACATGTTTTTCAAATGTATCTACTCTGATCCACTATAATTATTCTTATATTTCACATTACATTTTTTCAGTATGTTTAAACTCCCAAAGGGAGTTTCGTTCCACGATCGAATAAAGTCTACCCATCTACCTCTACATATCTACCTATCTACCTCTATCTCTCCTTGTCTCTCTCCCCGTGCATCTCTCGGCTGCTTCTCCGCGCGTCGGACATTCCTCCCACTGCAACTCCCCGGCTTCTTCTTTCTCCACACGGTAGGGGAAGGAAGAGCTGAGACCCACTGGCACACATACCGATCGTTTCCTTTTTTACGTTTCGAATATCATAAAATGTGGAGACTCGCGCCGAAAGCAGCTCAGACGGCGACGCGATCCCGTGCGGAGCCGGTCGCTTCTCCGACCGCGAGCTGCAGGGCCGCGATGCAGCTCCGCAGTCTGGTCCTCGCGAGATGCCAGGACGAATTGTTTCATGACTCATTGCGCCGCAGACTCATGCGGAAACGCGTGATCCTTTCGTTCGACTCCCCCTCCCCTCTCTATCTTTCTCTCTCTCTCTCTCTCTCTCTCTCTCTCTTTCTCACTCTGCGCCGCTAATAGCTCACTAATCGTCCCGACACTCGATTGAATTCAGCCTGAACACTTTCACATTCGTTCTTAATACCATGTTATCGTCGATAACACGAAATATGTAATCGATTCAAGCTGTATCTTTTAAGTTACGATACCTATTGACACAGAAACTTGTGCGCGACTCGTACGCGTTCACAAACGATCCCGCGTTCGCTCTTCGTGTTCCTTCCGTTATCTTCTCACGCGAGAGCGAGGTGGTTGCTCACGGACGTATTTCAGACGGAGGATTAAAGGCCAATGGCACATAGAAAAACGTAATCAGTAAGATTTAAAACAGCAAGCAAATGAATCAATCACGATCACTGATTCTAAGAAGAACCACCGTCTGTGATTGGTCAATTTGCTTACTTATATATATATATATATATATATATATATATATATCTTTATTCCTTCAGCATATATTTTTAGCCGAGAAGGGGACTTGATTTACATTTAATCTATACACTCATACTCACTCATACTACCGTCCATACTATACCTCTACAAACCCTACACCATCTATATAATATTATATGAACTTAGTAGCCATATATCCTAATCTTAACCTTATGCTGGCTTTCTTTGCATTCTTAAACCTATATCCATATACATTTGCCTTTATATTCATACAGGTCAATTTGCTTACGTCTTACTGCTTAAACTTTGCTGCGGGCCCTAATACCGCGTTTTCTGGCACAGAGCGTGGAACGCGCGTCACGGTCCATAAGGGAAAAGTATCGAGCCGAGAGAGCACCGAGGAGGCGACAGCGCCCCGTTACATTCCATGCTCATTACGAATCTCGCGCGGGGGACATTTAAAATTCAAATCTGTAGTAGCTGCGCTCGGCCACCTGATCGATTCTTTTCCAGTGGGTCGTAGGCGTGTCGATCGCCGACAGCGAAACGTCGTAGGATCGATCGAGGTTTTGCATCAGACATTCCTGGCACAGTCCGCCAGCGGACGTTAAACTAGTTGCTCGTACAAGTTCGAAAGCTATGGAATACTCCGCGGAGAGAAGCGCCGGCTCTCACCGATTTAGGGCGGGTGACGACACGAGCGGCGCGTATATCTCACCGGCGTCTTCCCCTGGCCTTAATCGACATGCTTTTTGGAAAGCTCCGTGTCTTTGCTCCGTGTCACGAAGCCCCGCGCACTTCGTGGGAATCACCGACGATCGCAACCCATTGACCTATTCGTCTGGAAAAATACCGCGACCTACGAAAGTCGGTGAACGTCCCCACCCCGGGCCTGTTTTATTTTCGAGAATTCCGTAACCTCATGGAGGTATTAGCAACAATTTAGCTCGGCACTGATGTTGCCCAAGAGTCGCTAAAGAGTCGCTAAGAAGTCGCTGAACTGTCGTTAACGTGTTTCAATGAGAAGCAGATTTTAATTCGTCGCTAATTACAATTCGTTGCGGAAGTTGTGTGGAAGGATTTGTCATTTCTTTGTGAAATTCTTGTAGCAAGTTGAGTATATCAAAGGAAGACTAGCGAGTTCTTCAGTTGTTCATTTCGTTAATAAAATTATTAATTCTTTGAATTTGGATAATTTCTTAGATAAGTAGAGAAAGAGGTACATAAATTTACCAGCAACTTTACTAATCTTTAGTTTAATTACTTTAATTTAATAGTATTTACTTTAATTTAATAATTAATTCAATTCACACAATAATTTGTCTCATAAAAATAATTTAAAACGTTGTAGAACGATATAGTTCCATCATCGATTGTCTCACGTGATGTCACAATCATAAAAGTCTACCTGGGTTATCAAATAAACAGGTGTGCATAAATTTGACAGGAACTTTACTGTTAATTTGCAAAGGTAGTGCCCTACAAATGTGGTTCGTATAATATTCATATTTACTACACAGAGCGACGAAATAAAGATCCGAAAGGAATACGGAAAGAATAAATCTATTCAAGAAATCTACTGAGAAGAAATCTGCTCAAAACAATACATCAAGCAAAATGCAAAATTTAAGTGTAACTTTTAGTAAACGTGCAGTTGCATAATTGATATAACAACAACAAAATCAATATAACAATCAAATAATCAATACAATAACAAAATTTACATTGTTGTATGATGTACATTCGATGACTAATTCAATACAGCATATTTGTCTCGCAAATATAATTCAAAAATATCACAGAGTTTTCACCATGGATTTTCTATCCACGACGTGATAATTATGAAAGTCTAAAGTTTCTTTTCTGTTTTATTTGACAAACACAACACAGAGCTTTGGCACCAACCTAATAATAACGGTCGTAGAAAAAGATATTCGGAGATTGATAACTTCGTTGATTTTCCAAAGATGTCATA